TGGATAGACAATATGAAAGGACAATACGGTGGATAGACAGTATGATGAATAGACTTGTTTGTTCGAACCAACCTGTACCAGGAGAAAGACAACACCCTAATGCATAGAGGGGCTGTACCTCAGTGCGTTCAATGATGCATAACCTGTTTGTACCTGTGTATAAGAATGCATCCCTGAGTGAACGTCTTTGTCTGGCCTAGGGGGCAGTGGCAAATCCCGCCCCTGACTGAGCCGGTCCATTGTCAGGGAGCACATATGTACTAGCAGAACTGTAGACATCTGATCCGGGGAGCTAGAGACTGTGTTTCGTTTGACAATAAACCTGGCCGGGTGCCTTCATACCTTATTAGAGTCTGTGGTCATTGGGCAGTACGCTCGAGATCTGCTGTGCCAGCGATCTGCGCAGAGCTGGGACAGCACACAGGGGGAACACACGCACACAGCTGACTGTTATCATCATTGAACGGAGCAGAGCACCACACTGGTAGCGTCTGACGACAATTACTTTACATAGTGTTGATATTGGCCAAACATATCAAATGTGGGTGAATGAATTTAGGCACCTAAATCCATATTTAGGCACCAAAATAAAAGTGGCTGCATTTTCAGAAATGCAGAGCTCTCATTGGCTCCCACTCAAATTTCTCTTCAGATTTCTCTCTATAAATCCCTATTCAAGTCTGAGTTCAGGTTGGCATCAAGTTCGGACTACCTTAGAAAGAGCCCCTTTCTACTGGCCAGCTTCCTCTCCACTCCAGCCACATCCAAAAGGAAGGAAAAGCTGTACATTTACATTGGAGCATAATGAGGCCAATCCATGTGCCAAGTATTACAGTTCCTATCTGGATAGGATGAGCACTTGGAGAGTGTGACAGACCTGAAATTCTGGATGTGTCACTAGTCGATCATTATTGTCCAAGAGGAACAGAATAGAATCAAATTCAGTGCAAAGAAAATACATAGCCAAAGTTAGAGACACCATTTTGACAGCTTGGGTACAGCCACAGAGGGATAGTACAGAAGCATGTTGACCCCAAATAGGCAGATCCTGCTTGAGTTGTGTAAGGGTGGGGAGTAATTTTGTTGTTTATCACTGACTGCAAGGGCAGAAGGGGGGGAAAGGATGCAAAGAGCCCTTCCCTCTACACCACACACCTGTGTATGATGCAGACAGATCATGGCCTTTGACTGCAATGAGAGCTGGGAATTGGGGCCAGCTAGCATTATAGGCAGATGAGGTTTGTTCTAATGTGACCATAGTCTCACCTCCTGCATTCCAGCCAAGGGAGGAATTAATGTCTTTCAAAATTACAATAGATGCTGCTTGGGCAGGGCACCTCCTCCCCATCCACAACATATTGCTGACTTGTGCGAGGCATAATTCTGTCCCAGACGTTGTCTCATTAAAATGCCCATCTACTTAATCTGGGAGGAACCCGTATAAAGTTGCAATCTGATAGTGTTATGTGTGGGCTGTATTGGGTAAGAGAGAAGAACTTCCTTTCCCCTAATTAATTATATGTCTAGAGAAATGGCCAAACTCTCTGTACACCAGACTCCTTGTAGGTGTGAGGTGGGTCAGCACCTACTGGAGCCTTGCAAAATTGTCCAAAAATATTAACAGCACAAACAAAATCTACTCACCTGCCCTTTAGCAGTGAAAAAGCTAATAGCATTCAACTAGGTCAGGGGTAGGCAACCTATGGCGCGCGTGCCAAAGGCAGCACGCGAGCTGATTTTCAGTGGCACTCACACTGCCCGGGTCCTGGCCACCGGTCGGGAGGCTCTGCATTTTAATTTAATTTTAAATGAAGTTTCTTAAACATTTTAAAAACCTTATTTACTTTACATACAACAATAGTTTAGTTATATATTATAGACTTATAAAAAGAGACCTTCTAAAAATGTTAAAATGTAAAACGAAACCTTAAATTAGAGTGAATAAATGAAAACTCAGCACACCACTTCTGAAAGGTTGCCGACCCCTGTACTAGGCCATCAAAAAAAGTTACTCACCTTTCCTGCTTCATGAGTAAGAAGAATTTTGCAAGGCTGACTGTTTCTATTTCCTTATTGTGTTTGGGTGGTACTCTGTTGCCAGCTGTGTAGTCACTGGGCTAACAAGATGAAACATGAGACCCTGGTTACACAGCTGATGTGGGGTACGCCTTACTCAGTTCAAAAGGTACTATGATACTACATCGAGAATTGTGAAGCTATGTGTGACCCTTGACATTTGCATGTCAATACTCTTGCTATACTTTAGTTTACAGATATTTCAGTAGTGTCTGAGCTCTGGGAAGTGGGTTTTATATATATGTAGGGTCCTACCAAATTCACAGCTGTGAAAAATGCAACACGGACTGTGAAATCTGGTCTCCCCTGTGAAATCTGTTTGTGTACTTTTACCCTATACTCTACAGATTTCACGGGGAGACCAGCATTTTCTCAAACTAGGGGTCCCAACCCAAAAGGGGGTTGCAAGGTTATTGAAGGATGGTCATGGTATTGCCACCCTTACTTCTGCGCTGCCTTCAGAGCAGGTGCCCAGCAGCAGTGCAGTGCAGAAGGTGGCAATACCATACCATGCCATCCTTACTTCTGCACTGCTGCTGGCAGTGGCGCTGCCTTCAGAGCTGGGCGGCAAGAGAGTGGCAGCTGCTGGCTGAGGGCCCCGCTCTGAAGGCAGCAGTGCAGAAGTAAGGGTAGCAATACCATACCATGCCATCCTTACTTCTGCACTGCTGCTGGCAATGGCGCTGCCTTCAGAGCTGGGCTCCTGGCCAGCAGCCACTGCTCTCCAGCTGCCCAGCTCTGAGGCAGCGCCACCACCAGCAGCAGCAGTACAGAAGTATGGGTCGCAATACCACAACCTCTCCCACAACCCTCTTTTGGGTCAGGACCCCTACAGTTACAATGCCATTACATTTCAGATTTAAATGTCTGAAATAACGAAATTTATTATATTTTAAATCCTATGACCGTGAAATTGACCAAAATAGAATGGGAATTTGATAGGGCCCAATCTATAAGCAGTTTGCTAAGATTTAAGTCAAAATAAGGTTGCTCTAACCCCGTGCCCAGCAAAGTCTCCCTGGTATCTGCAAACCACGCTACATGCTTTCTATCTCACCAACAATATCCGGGAATCAAAGCTTGGTGTCCCATTCTGCCCTTGGATATGTGCACCATATCTAGGCAGAGTTTTGCCCTTAGGTGGCAGGTTTCCCAAAGCTGCAAGTGGCAGAAGAATATACAAAATGATCCTCAGGACCTATATTTGCTGTATATACAGTAATATGTATTTATGTGCAACCTAAAGAAATGACTTCTTAAGTGTCACCTTGAGACTCATTTGAGTGATCAAAAATCACACCTGAAAGTTTTCATCTTTGGTCCACAGCTAGAGAAAATTTGGCTTTTTTTGTTCTGTTTTGGCTTTTTTGTCCTGTCAAGAATCTAGTCAGAAAATTCAAACTTTAAATTGTAAGGTGTAAACTTAGGGATTGCAGTGAATGCAATTTAAATTCCACCCTAGCACTAGTCATCAAAAGGTATGCATGCTCCTCCGCCCAGCTGCCTTTCTATTATAGTAGGGGCCAGATTCTGCCCGCATACAATGGCTCCAAATGCAGTATGGCTGCACAAATGTAGGTGGGAGTATAGCTTGGCAAAATTGCCAAAATCAATGGTTGAGATTTTCAAAACCAAATAGGGGATTTAACCTTGCAACACCAATTGAAACTAATGAAAATTGTGTGGCTACATCCCCTAAGCAGTCAGCTTGGCAATCTCAACTGACACCATTTAAAAAAAAATTAATGCATTTTAATTTGATCATTTGATTAAACTTTTTTTCAGTAAGAAAGGCCTCTCTCCTGCAATAGCTACACCAGGCAAATTCCTGTACCCCTGCAGAGTCCCTGTGAAGTCTCTGAGACTCTGCATGGCCACCAGTGCAGATCTGATTACCCATAGCAGCCCTTAGCCCAGAGGTGTAGTAGAAAACTGTAATTAGCCAACCGATTAATTTAAAAAGCATTCTGTGTCACATTTTATGATACGGTCAAGGCTTGGTCAAAAGGCAGTTCCATTAATTATTCCAATGGAGAAATAAAAGTTATGCCTTCAAAATTATTCCCTATTTATTTGGGAGGGGAAATGTTATACTGGTAAATGGTGAGACCTTGCTGAGATAATCTCTAGTCAGTTTCCTTGTTAGGAACAGAATCAGACTCTAAAGAACTTGAAAGATGAAAAACCCGGTGGGCCTGATGCTGGGGGACCTCACCCAATATTAATGTCGATGGGAGTTCACAGTCCGCAGCATCTCAAAGGCAGAGCTCAGCATCTTGCAGGACTGGACCCTAAGGGTTAACTATTCTTATCCCCTATTAGAAGTACCACATTTTTCAGTTTTTACTGAGCCCACAATCATCAGTTTTTTCAGCACTCTGGCTCTGGCCAGGAGGCTCCTTCCTTCCCCCACTGCCTCTGGCTGGGCTGGCACCCCAGGAAAGCCCAAGACCCTCCAGTCCAGGGTACTAGCCAGGAGAAGCCAAGCCCTGCATGTGCCAATGCCAGACTATCATTTCCCACAGACATTGATGTGCTCCTAATTTAATACATACCCCATTGTTAAGCTAACACGTCCTACTTCCTAGGTGACCATGTACTTTAACCCAGGGATCGGCAATCTTTGGCACATGGCCCATCAGGGAAATCCGCTGGCGGGCCGGGCTGGTTTGTTTACCTGCAGCGTCCACAGGTTCGGCCGATCGCAGCTCCCACTGGCCACGATTCACCGTTCCAGGCCAATGGGAGCTGCAGGAAGCGGCACGGCTGAAGGATGACACTGCAGGTAAACAAACCGTCCCGGCCCACCAGCAGATTTCCCTGATGGGCTGTGTGCCAAAGATTGCCGATCCCTGATTGAGCCCATCCAATGGTCATCTTCATATTAACTCTACCAGAAACAAATAATGGATTAATTTATTTGGGTATAAAATAAAGGGTTTTAAATAAAGGATCAGAGCACAGGTCCATCAAATGTAGGGTGACCAGACGTCCCGTTTTTAAAGGAATAGTCCCGTATTTAAGCCCTCCTACAGGTGTTCCGACTTTTTCTTAAAAATGGGCAAATTGTCCCATATTTTTTGCTTCCCCCCATCAGCCTCCCTGCTCGCCAGCCTCCTGCCCACCAGCAGTGAGTGGGGAGGTCCAGTGGCTGACAATGTGGGTGGGTGTGCAAGGCTGGTGGTGGGGCGGAGCTGCAGCACACGGGGCCGGCCGCTCCTCCTTCTGGTCCATCAGCACAGCCCCCGCTGCATGCTGGCTCTCGGCCAGCAGGGCCCCGCCCCCTGTCCTGTTTCTGGCCAGCGCTGGCTGCACACTATGGCAGCTGATAAGTACGGGCAGGCGCCAGGTGGCGTCCGGTTACATGTCGCCTCTGCTACCCACCCATCAGCCCTTTACATGCTCCTCTTGCTGTACTCTCCTTGTTTTGCCCCACTGTTACTCCATATCCCCCCCGGCGGGGCATGTCCCGCTCCCAGCCCTGTGCGGAGAACCAGCCCCTGGTCTGAGCGCTCAGCTCACCAGCAGCCTGGCCAGGAGGCTCCTTCCTTCCCCCACTGCCTCTGGCTGGGCTGGCACCCCAGGAAAGCCCAAGACCCTCCAGTCCAGGGTACTAGCCAGGAGAAGCCAAGCCCTGCATGTGCCAATGCCTCGCACAGCGCTGGCACAGGGAAGCTTCTTGGTCCTTCAGCTAAGCTCTGGAGTGGGGGGCAGGGCGGGGAAGTGATTTCCAGACTGTTCCTGCCCCAGACCTGCTGGCTCCACAGCAACCCCCCCGGGCAGGGGCTTAGCACCCTCTTCACCCGCCCGACCCCCCACCACTCTGAGTCCTGCCCCCAGGGAGTGGGGGCTGTTCTGTCCCCTAGGCACCCTCCTCTGCTGAGCCACCTCTCTGGCTGGTTCGCTGAAGCCCCAGCAGTCAGGTTCCCTGGGCCCTGGTGCACAATGTGTCCTTAGGGCTTAACCCTTTCCTGCCCACGCTGTAGCCCGGGGACCGGAGGGGGCTGGGTTATGTCGGTGACCAGCAGCAGCCTGGAGATGGTAGTTGCCTTTTGACACTGTGCGGGCAGGAAGGGACAAGCTGCTTCCAGCCATGGGGGTAAGGGGGAGGAAGAGATGAACTCTGCAAAGACACAGGCCAGGTCATCCCTTCCCCCTCTCCTCCTCCCCTGCGGCTGGAAGCAGCTCCCGTCCCTTCCCTCCTGTACAGTTCTGAAAGGCTGCTGCTGGCCACGTTCTGGTGTGAACCCTGGCAGAAACGGGGGGGGGAGGGGGAGATGTGACCCCTTGTGCCCCCCCCCACAGAACAGTGCGTCTGGAACTCATTTCCCCTTTAGCCTGACAAAGCTGAGATTTGTTAACCTTCTGGGTACGTTCATCTATTTTAATGTGCTTGTTTGCACAAAGTGGGATGAGGAAAGGTTCTGACTATTATGGGATTACTACGTTATGTACTGAGTTTATTTTATCAGTATAAAGGCCATGTTTTAAAATGACTTGGGCAATCGAGTCCTTTTATCGTATTAAGGATATCTGTCCTTTTGCTATGGTTTTTAATAACTGTACAATGCCTAAAGGATTGATAGGTGATTTAGTAAATGTAAATTTAAAAAATCCATTACTACTACACATATTGTGGTCGCGCCTGGAGCCCCAGCCCCGGACCAGGACCTCATTGGGCTAGACACTGTACAAACACAGAACAAAAAAAGGGCTTTAACTACCTCCTCTTGCCATCTTTCTGAAATAAGAGCGAGCCTAATGGACCTTACCATTCTCCTTTCTGTGGGCCCAAACTACAAACCTGTTCTGGTAAAACTGTCCTTCCTTCTGCAGATTTTATGCATATGGGAAAAAAACACACAGAATCAGGCCTACTCTATTCTTAAAAAAACTAACAAAACTGGACCACAGCAAATGACCTCTCCCTCCAAAATACTGAAAACACCAATTCACTTTGGGCTATATTCTGTCACCCTTATTCACAACAAGTTGCACTTTTTCTCTGTGGATAGTCCCTTATAAGATGTGTCTTCCACATTCTTATTTATTTTGTGGCTTTGATTTAATTTCTGAGCTAACTAAACAGTTATTAATTTTCAGAGATTCTTGAATCAAAATCAGTTACTTAGTGACAGACAAGTAGAACACTATAGAATCTGTCCTGAATTTTGTCTAAAATGCTGTAGCTGAGTGACAGCAAATCTAGATAATATTTTAAACTTATTCATCACATTTATATTTACTGACTAACTTTAAAAGCAATAACATTGTTTAACAATCTAATGAAGTTTTGGATACCAGTGCATAGCATCTATGCTGAAAACACTGTCTAAACTTAATTTTTCCATTTGTAACAAATTTATTAGGCTCATCTTCATTATTCATAATAATATGCAAATAGGCATGGCATTGATCCAGTGTGTGCATAGTCAAGAGACTGATGATTTGTGTATATGGCTAGAGGAATTTATTTGTGCATACAAGACTTGCCGACCCTGCCAGAGTTAATGATTTTAGCTTCTCCATTATACTTTCCTTAGGAAAAATATATATTTATATGAATTATTCAGCTGTATGTTGAATTGGCCAGCATTTTGTCCATGTCTCTTTTTAAGATTTCATGTCAGTTATTAGTGAAGTTTCCTATGTAGTTCTGATGACAAAAGCTGCTCGCTGCTTTTTACATGCCTAAACAATTTTAAACATAATTGTTCCTTTGATCTTCAAGCACCCTTTTTCTTGGTTTTCTCTTCTGCCTTAAGGTCTTTTGCTATGCATCTGGAATTGAAAGCTGATAACATTTCTGCTGCTGTCAAGTTGGCTCCTTTCATTATCAATCTGTCTCCATCAGCTGTAAAGGCAAGATCCTAAGTTTTAGAGGTGATAAAGTTATAAGAAACAATTTAGCATACAGTCAAACTAAAATCGGTGTAAACACTCAGTTCATTCAGTTTACTTAAAAATATTCAGTGATTTCATATACCCATTACCATTGAATCTGTGCGCATACCATACATTAAGAGCAAGGAACACATTAAAGTTAACTGCCCACAACAACAAAAACAGCCTCCATCCCTGAACTGCCTCATCCAAACATAAGGAAAAGCTCCCCAGATATGATCTAGTTTCAGAACAGATGTGTTACTAAAGTAGTTCACACTATTCTCTGAAGGTCAGCAAATTTGGACTCTAAGGGTATGTCTACACTAGAAAGGTAAGTCGACCTATATTATGTCGACTTACAGCCACTGCTGTAATTACTGTAGCGGTACAGTTCCACACTACCCTCCTTGGGTCTGTGGTGTGTGTCCTCACCAGAAGCACTTCCACTGACCTAAGAGGGGTAGTGTACAGAGCTGAGAGACCAGTCTCTCAGCTCTGCTGGCAGCTCCCTACCGGGAGCCCGGCTGCCCCACAGACTTCCAGTGGGTTGCCCTCCCTCCACTCGGGTGGGGGGTGGGGGGGGAGGGGAGAGGGAAGCTGCCCGGGGCTTCTCGCCCCGGCTTGCAGCCCGGAGCAGGGTCCAGTCACCCAGGCTTCTCACCACGGCTCCCAGCCAGGAGCAGAGTCCATTCTCACCCCAGCTCCCAGGCGGGAGCGGAGTCCAGCCGCCCAGCTCTCCAGGGGAGTGGGGGGAAGCTGGACTCTAGTTGCTTGCTTTCTTGCCAGTTTCACGGCTCCTGCCAACAGCTGATGTAAGTAACGCAGTCTCTACCCTTACATTGCATCGCCCTATCTACACCGATGTAAGCCTTATGCCTCTCGTGCAGGTGGAGTTATAACGGTGTAGTAGGGCACTTAGGCTATGTCTACACTTACCAGAAATCAATGCTGATGTGATCGATGAAGCGGGGGTCAATTTAGCGGGTCTGGTAAAGTCCTACTAAATCGATCACAGAGCGCTCTCCGGTCGACTCCAGTACTCCACCGGAACGAGAAAAGTAAGGTAAATCGACAGGGGAGCGTCTCCCATCAATGCAGCACGGTGTAGACACCACAGTAAGTCAACCTAAGCTACGTCGATTCAAGTTACATTATTCATGTAACTAGAGTGGCACAACTTAGGTTGACTTACCGCGGTAGTGTAGACAAGGCCTTACATCGGCAGGAGGAAGGCTGTTGTATAGAGACTGACATAATTAGGTCGACATAAGCTGCCTTACATTGACCTGTGTATATAGACCAGCCCTAAGGGAGTGGATTCCACATCTGAAAGAGACAAGGTGGGTGAGGTAATATCTTTTAGTGGACCAACTTCTATTGGTGAGAGAGACAAGCTTTCTCACCAACAGAAGTTGGTCCAATAAAAGATATTACCTCACCCACTTTGTCTCTCTAGTATCCCGAGACCAACAAACTACAACTATACTATATATTGTGTATAGTCAGTTTCAGTTTCCCCTGAAGAGGAAGCAAGTTAATCAGTTTACCCTGTTCGTGTGTGTCTTTAATACAGAAACAGGTAAGAACAAACATTTTAAAAATTAGGAAAATTTCATTTTAAAACCTAAAAATTGTCAGGGAGAACTAGGAACAAAATGTAGTGCCTAAAACTAATTGTAACTAAATTTCAAAGTGACTAGATTTTTCAAGTTGACAGTATCCCGCAACAAAACTATAGCAAGCCCAGCAGCATAATACACTGTCTTGTGCAGTTTCCAAGTTCAGGTCATAGAATCATAGAATCATAGAATATCAGGGTTGGAAGGGACCTCGGGAGGTCATCTAGTCCAACCCCCTGCTCAAAGCAGGACCAATCCCCAGACAGAGGTCCTGTGTTTGCAGGCTGCAAGGGCTGGAAATGCTTCCTTGGCAACATGCTCAGCACCTTGGGAAAGTGAAAAATTGAGAGCAGTAGTTCCTGGCATCAGTAAATTAATCCCTTTTGGCAGAGGCTCTGCACAGCATTGAGCTTCATCATCTAGTATACCCAGGCAAGAGATAAAGATGAGAAATAAACGAGGAAGGAAATACTGTAAAGACACTGAAAAATATATATGTTTGACATATCAAAGCTAAATCTTTGCAGTGTTCGCTAGAAATGGCAGCTGACCCGATTAAAATATGAAAGTTTAAAGGAAAACAAATAGATAATCATTAGTGAAGGAAAAATCTTAATGGGCTGGGTTCTCTGCTGGACCTCTTAGAAGGCAGCAGAACAGAAGGTAAAGCTCAGGAGAGAGGAGAACAAAGGTGGATTAAAGTGATTTGTGAAATGCCTCAAATCTGGGCTGCGCCGGGGTTGACGGAAACCTCCAGTATAAGTTAGAGGAGCCCACAGAGCTGGCTGCACATCTCATAGACCCATTTCTGCAAACATTTATACATGTGAGTAGTCCCACTAAGGTGGGACAGCTCATATGACCAAGTTACTCAACTGCATAAGTAGCTGCAGGATCAGACCTTAAGTTCTCAAGACTGAGAAATCTATGACTCCAATATTACAAGTGAGATGCTCAGAGGTGGGCAAAAACAACAAGGAGTCTGGTGGCACCTTAAAGACTAACAGATTTATTTGGGCATAAGCTTTCGTGGGTAAAAACCTCACTTCTTCGGATGCAAGAGGTGGACAGGTATCTGTGGCAGCATGGAGCCACACTGACTTCAACACGGCTCTGCACAGGTACAAGGGTCCACTTGCAGACCTCTCATTTAAGTATTGGAGCTTTATGTTTGTAATGAAATCAATCTCTTTTTTTTTGTAGCATTCCCTTTCTTCCCAGTTCTAAATCCAGTAGACGGAATTTTTTATGATTTCCTTCCATATCCATTAACCTGACTAATTCCATCCTACTTTTGCTCAAAAACATGTTTGTACAACACCTAGCACAATATGGTTCTGATCCATAACTGGGATGTCAGTACAAATACAAATTACAGGAAACAATCTCAAATATCTTCCAGTGTGAGTCTTAAAGGCTACGTTCCCTTTAAGATGAATGATAAACTCCTTACCAAACATGATGTCTACAACTGGTTCAGATCCATCATGTCTTACATCTGTTGTCACTACACAGTTGATATTGGAGGCACGAGCTTTTTTACTGTTTACATGTTCAAGAAATATTCTGAAAAGATTTAAGAAATATAGATTAAGTAAGAATATACTGAACATATTGCTGCAATTAATTTACATAGTTTGATGTTGCTAGCTAACCAAAATACAAACCAATTAGGATTTATATTTACTGCCCCAGTTCTACAAGGAGTTCCATAAGTGCAGACTCGATTGCATGATCATTTTAACAGATTATTATTACAACGAAATTTTAAAATCCAATTTGCTTTTCACTATTTTGTTTACTTTCTGCATTTCTTTTTGATTGATTGCATTATCCCAGCTATCAATCAAATCAGTTTTATTTTTCTTTATAACTAATTTTACTTTCAGGTTGTCAATGTTTCAGTGTTTGGAGTCCAGAGAAATGTTTATTTTGTTTAAATATCTGTTTCTATTGGATTTTTTCCCCAACTCCATGGTAACATGTCTAATGATTTGCTGAAGTTTGTGTAATTTGTTTTTCAACATTTAAATTTTGGCCAAAGTTCAATTAATAGGGTCCCTTTGAAGCCAGGACAGTCACCTGCAGGAGTCAGGAAGGGATTCCCTGCACACACACCAATGTATTCTGTTGTGGGTTATTTTTATTGCCTTCCTCTGAAGCATCAGCGATGGCAACAGCTGGAGATATGACATTGGAAAGGGTGGGCCAGAGCTCTTAGGTGGCATCGAGCATTCTCTCTCTCTCAAGGTGCTTGGCTGGCTGGTTCTTGCTCATATACTCAGGGTCTACCTCATCACCATATATGGGGTGAGGAAGGAATTTTCTCTCAGGTCAGATTGGCAGTGACCTTGGTTGTGTTTCACCTTCCTCTGTAGTGCGTGGGTGGTGGCGGCGGTGACCTGTAATATACAGGTCAGACTAGATGATCTGGTTGTCCCTTCTAGCCTTAACCTCTATTACTATGTGTGTATGCACATGCACGCATGCGGGTGTGTGTAAAATAACTCCTCAAATCTGCTCCAAATTTGCGTTTTATGTTCCTGTAGTGAAGTAGTTATGGAAAAAGCACAATTATTTGAACTTCAGGCAATTGATTACCAAAGAACATCAGCATTGTGTTTTTCCTCACTATTTGTAAGTATTGTAACACTAATAACTAGGGCCCTACCAATTTCACAGCCATGAAAAACACGTCACGGACCATGAAATAAGCCATTCCTCGCAATGGGGGCGGGCTGGGGGGGACAACTAGAGCCACCTCTGGGAGCCTCCCCCTGCTGCAGGATGCTCTGGAACTGGGCAGCAGCCCCAGAGCGTTCCTGCAGCTGGAGGAGGCTTGTGGAGTTGGATCCGATCTTCCCTGTGCTGCTGGGAGCATCCCAGCAAAGGGGGCTCCTAGCTGATAGTCCAGGCAGGGCTGGGGCAGGACAGAACTTGCTCTTTCCCTGCAGGGGTGCTCTTGGGTATCTCTCCTGGCTGCAGATAGCTCCACACCCCCTCCTCCCCACTCTGTCCAGCTCTGAAGGCAGCACAGAAGTGAAGGTGGCAACCCCATGACCCTCCCCCCCAAACAGGTTTGCAACCCTCCCACACATTCCCTTTTGGGGTCGGGACCCCCACCATGAAATTTCAGATTTAAAAATCTAACAACGTAAAATTTACCAATTTTCAAATCCTATGGTCATGAAATTGACCATAATGGACCGAGAATTTGGTAGGGCCGTACTAATAACAAAGGCCCTAATCTTACAGCTGACGCCACATGGGCTGACCCTTGCACTCACATGGATCCTCAATGACTTTAGGATTGGGGCCTCTGTGCTTAGCATAGTAAAGTTAAGCAAATGTGTGTTTGCAGGCCTTAGTAAGTACCTCTACACTTTGAGCTGGAGGTGCAAATTCTAGCTCCAGGAGACTTAACCCGTGCTAGCTCTGACTGAGCTATTGTGCTAAAAATAGAGTGTAGCTGTGGCAGCAGGAAAGGCTACCCACCCACTACATGCTTAGTGTCTCAGACTACATAGTGTGGCTAGCTCCATCCCCTCTACTGCTACACTCTATTTTTAGCATGCTAGCTCAGTCCCAGCTCCAGCAGATATGTCCCCTCAAGTTGGAATTTACACTTTCCAGCTCATAGTGTAGAGTAGACATACCCAAAGACACAGAAGCAGAAGACAGACTAGTTGTATTTCAACCCATCTTCTGATCATTTGTTACAGTATATCTTTCCTGCGGAACTTCGTTACGATACCTTTCTTCTCTGAAAAGCCAATAAAAAATGGCACCTTTCTATTAAAGAATTGCCTCCTCAGTGTTCAGACATATATCTGCTTACTGATAGTAAATCATATCATCTTATTGTAGTGACAGTAATTTTCACTGCTGCATTTTACTCTCATCAATGTAGTAAAGACAGCACATCCGAGGAGGAACTAGATTCTATTCCTTCTTTTACAGCATCAACAATTGTTTGCTAAATTCATGTAAATTATATTTGTGCAAATCGAGTGAACACATCTGTACAGGTGTCACCAAACCAGTAGTCTGAAAACAATGGGGTTGCATAGATCTTGCTGGGATCTTAACGTGGTCAACTCTCACGATATTTGATATTTTAACTTAAATATAAGAATGGCCATACTGAGTCAGGCCAATGGTCCACCTAACCCAATATCCTGTCATCCAACAGTGACCAATGCCAGATGCTTCAAAGGGAATGAACAGAACAGAGCAATTATCAAGTGATCCATCCCATCCTCCAGTCCCAGTATCTGGCAATCAAAGGCTTGGGGGGGAGGGGGGAAGGGCTGCTCCCCGTGAGAAGGGGATGGGGGGGGGGGGATGGGCTGCTCCCCATGAGCAAAGGATGGGGGGATGGGCTGCTCCCTGTGAGCGAGATATAGGGGGGACGGGCTGCTCCCCGTGAGAAGGGGATTGAGGGAATGGGCTGCTCCCCGTGAGTGGGGTATAGGGGGGACGGGCTGCTCCCCGTGAGAAAGGGATGGGCGGGGACGGGCTGCTCCCCGTGAGTGGGGTATCGGGGGACGGGCTGCTCCCCGTGTGGAGGCGGAATGGGAGGGGGGGTGTCTGGCCGCCCTCCCGAGCTCTCCTCACCGCGTGGTTTCTACGTTGGTCTGGAAAGGGCAGAACCGGACCATGACGCTCTTCACGTGCCTCAGCGCCACCGCGGCCTTGGGCACCGCCATCTTCCCCTTGCTCCGCCTGGGACTACAATTCCCAGAAGCCCCTTCGCCAAGGCGGGACGCAGAGCGCTGGCGGTGCGCATAGCTCTGTGGGAAATGTAGTGCTCGGCGGGAGGGGCTGCGCAGCCGGAGCCCCTAGCGGTGCTGCTCCGCTGGTGCCTGGGCTTGTGCCCTAGGAGTACATCCAGCCTGGCCCCCTCCCTTGGGCCTGGGAGCTAAGCGCCGGGTCGCGCCTCTCCCGCTGGGGGATGATAGAGTTTGCTGCTGGGTCTGCTCAGATGAGCAGTTTTCACTCATTTAAAGAAATGATCCCCGTCTTCAGAACGGGCTCCGATTTTGCCCTGGGAGCAGTAGGGTGACCAGACAGCAAGTGTGAAAAATCGGGACGGGGTGGGGGGTAATAGGAGCCTATATAAAAAAAAGATCCAAAAATCGGGACTGTCCCTATAAAATCAGGCCATCTGGTCACCGTAGCAGTCGGACGGGGTGCGGGGGAGTGTATGCCCGTAACGCCCCACCAGGTATCGTTCATTACAGTGCAGTGCAATGAACAGAAATGAGTGAAGGGCAGGACACCCCCTGGCCTCCTCAAAGCTTTCAAAAGACAAAGAGCAAAGATTCGAGTTCAGGGCAATTGTTAGGAAATTTGATTCTTTTCATGTTAACATTTTTATTTGATTCTTTTTTTCTTCATCAAACTTATCAAACAGCAGGAGCAAAAATATAGAACTATAAACGGAGTATATATCCCTGACACAGTGCCCTCCTAGGTGCCCTGTAGTTTGTTTATACACGGACCCACTCCAATTGGCTTTGTGCAGATGGACATTCATTGGCTTCAGTGTGGGTTGTCAATAGAGTTGCCAACCCTCCAGGATTGTCCTGGAGTCTCCAGTAATTAAAGATTAATTTTAATTAAAGATTATGTCATGTGATGAAACCTCCAGGCACATATCCCAACAAAATTGGTAACCCTAGTTGGCACATGAGGTATCACTTGCAGAATCAGGGCCTACCATAGTTTCTTGTAGGTTTCTCTGCCTTTATAGAATTTAGAATTGCAGGAGTTAAGGATATAAAGACCTATATCCCTGGCAATATACAGCCCTGATCCTCTAATGTGTTGCTGTGTGGGCATGGATACATCCATGCAGAGCTCACTGCAGGATCTGAGTCTATTTCTGTAAGATGTACCAATTGGTTTCCACTACTTTTCCTAGGAATTGTGTCTTGCTTTGGTTTGCCTGGCCTCCTCTGATAATATCTATCAATTTTTGAAGCAAACCTTTTTTATAAGAATGGTTGTATACTAAACAAAGGGCAATCTGAATCATTACTGTTATAAAATATAGAAGAGAGACCTGCTGAAGAGTCTGATAGAAATGGAAATAAAGACTTTTTAAAATAGGTGCATTAGAAAATATATAAAAGGAGGTAAGATAAACCAGCTAAATAATAAGTCATTAAACAAACACTGTTGAAGTTAATTGGCATGTAGCATAGCCAATGCAATTCATCAATTTTACAGCAGATGGCAGAAACAATTTTTGTAAAGTTTTTGGGAGTTGTGTGCTATCTGAAATTGTTGGTAGAGTACTGGGATCCTAGCAAACCTTTGGTGTGGGAGCTTGGAATAAATCAGCTTTGGTAATACAGTGTGAAATTCTAGGGAGTCTTTCAATACTGTATTTCATTTTTACCTTGGTTGAAGTGCTGCTGATGCTTTTTTCCCCAGTAACTAACTGATGTATAAAATAGAATAGTTGGCATCATTTAGAAATGCTAAGGTATTGTTGTAATGTAGCTTTGGCTCTCTCTCTTTTTTTTTTAATGTAGTCACTAAATTAACTCCAGCTTTCTAGTGAGATGAAGCCTAAACAATAAATTAAATAGTTAAATTAATTTCAGAAGTAAGTATTTTAAAACTTTGTCTCCAAATTCATTTATATTATAGCTTTGTCTTTGCAAAAATAAGTCTCTGAGAGAAAGCATTGTAACAAACATACTTCTTAAGCAAAAACTCAGTGATTTAAAAGAGGATTTGCCTGAGTTAGAAGTGCCAGATCAGGCACATAGGGGGCAAATAGAATGTTTTATATTTAAAAGGTGAAACCAAACTATAGAACTTCAACAGTCCTTCTCTCTCTTCATTATAATACAAATCAGTAACAACATTTCCATAAGCCTCTCTTAGAGCAGTATGGATCAACCTTGATTTGGGAATGCGGAAGAAAGGATGTATTTTATTGATCGTTAAGAGTTCAGTTCTGCCAGGTGCTGGGCACCCTGTACTCCTGTTGATTTCAAAATAGGTAAGGCAGAAATAATCTTTATTTCATCCTATTGTGTTTTGATAGCAGTTTTCTGTGGAATTTGTACAGTTTGCTGTGCAGAATCCAGGGCAAAGAGAACTTTCTCCAATCATCTTCTCCATAATGCAAATCAACCAACCTGTTGGCCTTTGTCATAATCTATAAAAGTTTTATCTTTCCTCCTAGATCTGAACCATCACTTTGGAAAGATATAAAAAAATCCCCTTTTCAGTAATTTATTTTTTAGCTGCCTGAATGTGATCCATCCAACTTAAAGTAACATAAGGCAAAATATAAGTTCAATAACCTTAAGATAACACATCTTTCTTCCTCCCTTAAAAAGATAGAATCTTTCTATGAAATGAAGCCAAGGGAAATGAGTGCAGGCATCTTGTTTGCTTAAAGAAGGATCTTCTCTGTACTTGGTTACAACCAAGTCCTAGAATGAATATGGAACAGAAGCAGGAATTTTAGTTTTGTTCTTTTACACCAGTTTAACTCCATCAGTGTCTCCGCTTACCCTGGATTTACACAGGTATAACTGAGATTGAACTCTGACCCATAGCGTCTTAATTTGATTCCAGAATAGCTCATAACAAATTATCCACAAAGGACCTGAATCATTCCTTTCCATTCCAGCAGTTAATCTGAGAACTCTGAAATGTCTATGCTAGAGACTATTCTCCAAGGATTCACATTTGAAACCAAGTGATTAATTATTCTTAAGTACTGTATAGTGATAACTAGAGTATAGTTACTTTTAACAGACAATGATGTTGTAACATCTGTAACATTGGTATCCCAACCTGATTGATTTTTATTCTAATTACTATTTTAGAGAGGCAAACTTTCTCAAAAGGAAAAATACAGTAGTCCCATTGACTCATTCAGCAGTCCATAGTTTTATATCTAACCAATGTATGCATCAGGCAGCAATTCAGCCCCTTCACACACCCTCATTATGGAGAGGGTGTTAGCCTGAGACAGTTGGAACTAGGTTTTACTTTACAGAAGATGAGCTATCTGCAGTGTTCTACCCCCTCCGCATCTATCATCGGCAACTGTGTAGTTAAGATAAAGGCAGATTGAGGTTGCAAATAGTCAGGTGGTATTTATTAAGCGTAACAATAAGAGGCTAGGACTCCCTGAAAACTAAGATAACACAATAACAGCTTGGTTGTTAACACAAATGATGTAAAAGGAGATGAACCCCAGAGCCCCAAACCCTATACACAATGGGGTACACAGGACTTAACAAGAAGGACTATACTATATCTTGCAGACACTGGACAGGAGAACAGGAACACAGATGGGAACCAGGTTCTCAGGGACAGGTGCCAGGAACAGGAACACAACAGGAACTGGACCTTAGGAACTTTGGTGACAGGTAAGCAGATCTTCAGTATGGTTTCTTCTGTCTTCTATTCTTGATTTCATCATCCTGCGTGCTGAATGCGAATGCTATCTCAAGTGAAGATGGAATAGGCGAGTGGAGGTAAGTTAAGGGAACCTTGGTAGATGTTACTGGTTCATCTCAAGTCCTAATCCCTCAGGTCTCTAGCTAATAGCAAGGCTGGTACTCTGTGAGAGGGCTTCTATGCCTCACTGAGTTGACCTGCTTTCACAGCATCCAGAGACACAGAGCGCCCCTCAGAGGGTGACACTCCCTTATATGCGTTCTCTGTTGCTAGGCAGCTTCTACTGCCACGACACACTATCTTTCCCGTCTTTTCCTTGTTTTGGCGCCAAACTTGAAAAGAGCGCCAAAAGTTGAAGGAGAAGGGATGCCAAGATGGAGGACTGATTATCCTTTTACCAGTCCAAAATGGCGACTATGTACCCTTAATGAATTCAACCTTTTCTACCCAACAACGGGCGGCAGCAAGCTATCATGTTAGCTAGATTTGTCAGCCTGTTTTTTTTCTCTTTGCTCCTTTCTCTTCCTTGTTCTGATCGTTTTTTGTTTTGGTCTGTCCCTTGTCCATTACTTCTCCTCACTTTCATTTCCTTTCTGTAATATACTTACATAGAGAAATGTATGTGCTTCAGAGTTGAGATCTGGCTTCAGTTTCTTCAAAGGTCATGTTTGGTTCAGGCTCCCTTCTGCTATTAAGTTGATTCCTTCCCTTGAATCCTTTAATTTTTTTTTCCTGATTATTTTCCCAAGACCCTCTGTCACAGATGGCTATAGGCCCAGGATTTAGCATTTAGTAATTAATTTCCAAACACCTATTCATGACACAAGGTACTCTCTGTATGAATAAAACATAATGCTGCCTGGGGGCAGCAGCCCTCAAAGAGGAGAGGTGAGCCAAAACAAGCCCTGCATGCCTGCCTGTTATGTGCAGAGGCAGTCTCTCCAGCTGGCTGCACAGAATGCTAAGCTTCACTGTATAAAACAGGTCTTTTCTGGAAGCAGAGAAACACAAACACCCTGTCTATACTACAGGGACTATACTGTCAGAGCCCAGTGCCGCAGCTATGCTGGCATAACCCTGTAGTGTAGATTCAGCCATCATTGACAGAATGGGTTTTTCCATCAGTGTAGAAACACCACCTCCCCGAGTGATGGTAGCTAGGTTGACAGAAGCATTCTTCCATCAACTGAGCTGCATCTACACTGGGGGCTAGGTCAGCACAGCTACGTTGCTCAGCTGTGTCCACCCCGCCCTGAGTGACATCTCTATGGGTAGACCAGGCCA